GGGGGGGGGGGGGGGAGGTGTAGGGGCTGTCGTGGTGGGTTGTGCGTGCACAACCTGCAAGGGGCAGGACTTGAGCTCCATAGGGCGTGGTTTCGGGGGTTCCCAATATAGGGGCTCTACAGCCACCCCCGGCGGGCCATGGCGGCTGCGGCGCTGCTGCTGTTGCTGCTGCTGTTGCTGTCGTCACTGTCGCTGGCGGCGCTGCTGCGGCGGGACGATGGGCGCGGCCCGCGCTGGGGGGCGCTGCACCTCTTGCACCCGCAGGGGGCGCTGCACCTGAGCCGCCTGGCGCGGCGGCACGGGCCCGTGCTGCGCCTGCGCTTGGGGGACCGCGGTGAGTGGCGGGGCGCCCCAAAACGGACCTGCCCCGAATCTGCCCTGGGACTCGAGATTCTCCCCCCCCAGACCTCCCTCTCCCCGGTCCTTAGGGACTCTCCGAACTTCCAACCCTGCCCTTTCCCCCTGCCGTTGGGACCTCCCCAAACTTCGGACCTCTCCTCAAATCCCCCAGATCTTTCCTGAGGCCCTAACCTCCCGACGCTCCACCCAAAACCCCCACCCCAGGATTCACCACTTGGTTTGGGACCCCCCAGTTTTGTGGTCCTCCTCAGCTCCTCCTCTTCCCTGCAGATGTGCTGGTGCCGAGCTCGGTGGGGACCATCCGTGAGGCGCTGGTCCGGCACTGGGGGGACTGGCTGGGCCGCCCCACCAGTTATCTGGGTATGGGGGCAGGGGAGGCCGGGTGGGCTATGGAGGGGTGGGGTAGGAAGGGTTCCTGTGGGGGTTTGGGGAGTCGCTATGGAGTGCGTGGTAGGGAAGCCCTTTGGGGAATTTGTAGTGAGTCACTGTGGGATTTGTGGGGTTCCCTGTGGGGCTTAGGGTGTCTCTAAGGGCTTGGGGAGGAGGGGCTATGGGATAGAGAGTCCCTATAGGGTTTGAGGGGGTCCCTATGAGATTGAAGGGTTTGTTATGGGATTTGGAGGGCGTCACTATGTGGTTGAGGATATGGCTACTGGGAGGGGGTGGTGGCACTTCTGGAGGTGTGGGTTGCTTATAGGGGCTAGGGCAGTCTCTGGAGGTCTCTGCTCCACCAGACACACCCTTCAGCCTCCAGGGTTCCTGGTGGAATTAGGGGGGGTCTTATTTAGAAGGTGGCTATGGGGTTAAAGGAGGCTTTATGAGCTAGAGGGGCCCTACAGAACACCCCTGGTGTGATGGAGGTGGGTCCCTATAGGGGCTGAGGGGGGATTTCTGGGGGTCCCTGACTCCCCCTGCCCAATACCAGGGTCGCTGGTGTCACGGGGGGGCCGGGACCTGGCACTGGGAGGCCCCTGCCCTGGCTGGCGGCGGCAGCGGGTAGCAGTGCGGGGGGCACTGGCACAGGCTGGGGGGCGTCTCGGGCCCCTCCTTTGGCTGCAGGGCCAGAAGTTGTGTGAGGTGAGACCCTTAAACTGACTTCTTCCCAAAGTGATCCCCCTGCAACCCTGACACCCCCAAAACTGATCCTCCTTGCAATAATATTGACCAGCAAAACCCTGTCCCCTGCATCCCAAAACTGATACCTTAAACCCCATTCCCTTCACCCAAACCCCACCCATGCACCTTAGCCATGCACCTTGCGTCTGAAAACTGCTCCCCCAAACCATGCCCGCTGCACTCAACCCCCACTCTCTGCGTCCCAAACCTGATCCCCAACCCTGCACCCACACCACACTCCCTGTCCCCCAAAACAGACCCACCCAGATCTCACCCTCTGCACCTCAAAAGGGCATTATCCCTGTGAATCCCCAAAACTCCCTTAGAGTTCCCCACTTCTCTCCTGTGACCCCCCCTAAACTACCCTTAGACTCCCCCTTTAGCTCCCCCAGGGCTCCCCCTAACCCTCCTCTTTCCCCCAGGAGCTGCGTTCCCATGGGGAGGCCCCTGTGGACCCCTTTGAGGTGTTCACCTTCCATACCTGCAGCACCATCGCACGCCTCCTCTTTGGAGACCTGGTGGGGATTTGGGGGGGGCCCAGGATGGAGAGAGGGGTTTGGGGGAGGACCCTAGTTTTTATGGGGGCCCAGGGGTTTGGGGAGGACCCAGGAGTTTGTGGAGGGGATGTCTAGCTGTTTGGGGGAACTGAGCAATTTGTGGGTGGGTGGCAGGGGTTTGGGGGCACACGGGAGTTCGAGGGGACCCAAGTGTCTGAAATTGTGTTGGGTGTCTTCTGGGGCTTGTGAGAGAACTTGAGTACTGGACAGTTCACAGGTGTGTCCTCCTCCAGGTGTCCCCTCCAGGGGAGCTCCGGGCCTTCTCCCGCTGCTTGGGGGAGCTGCTGCAGGTTTGGGGGCACAGCAGCGTACGGGCGCTTGATCTGCTGCCCCTGTTGCGGGTAAGGCTGGAAGGTCCTATGGGGCTGTGGCCTTTTTGCTGCATGAGGGTCTATGGAGCCCAGGGCTCTAGAGCCTTATAGGGGCAGTGAGGGAACTGAGGGGGCTACAGGGGGGCTGTGGGCCCGTGGGAGGGCTGTAGGGCCCTGGGAAGGGCTGTGAGTGTCAGGGGGCTTATGTGGCCCATGGGAGGGATATGCCAGGGGTTATAGTGTCTATATGGGGCTAGGGGAAGTGTTACAGGGTCTATATGGTGTTGGGCAGCTTTGTGGGCCTGGGAGGGGCAGTGGTGGGGGCTCTATAGGGCTAGGGTGGTCCATATGAGGTAAAATGTCTCTGTGGAGCTGAGGGTATCTATAGGACATTGGAGGAGTCTATATGGCCCAGGGGAGCAGCCATAGGGTTTCTCTGGGGCTCAGGACTTACACGGCGTCTCTGGGGGAGGGGGTGTCTCTCTGAGGTCAAGCGTTCTTTGGGGGTTGAGGGTCCCTATAGAGTCCCTATGCCCAGGCCCTGCCCAACCCAGGATTGAGGAAGCTGCTGCAGCTTGTCCAGCACCGTGACACCTTCGTGGAGGCCCAGATCCAGCGGCACCAGGTGGGGAGGCCTGGGGAGCTGGTGGGCAGCCGGGGATTAGGAGCGGTCTGGTGGGAACAGAGGGTCAGGGGAGACCCGGGGGTTTGGAAAATACCTGGGGGTCTGGAAGGAGCCAGGTTCTGGGTGGAAACCAGGAGTTTTGGGGGGGTGCCCAGGGGCATGAGGGGACCTACATATTTTGGGGGAAACAGGTTTGGGGGGACCCAAGGAGACAGGAAGACCTGGGGGTCTGGAGGGGAAGTGGGGTTGGGGGAGGAACTGGGGATTTGGGGGGACTTGGGGGTTTGGAAGGGACTCCCATGTTTGGGGGCAGCTGGGGATCAGGAGAACCCCCCAACATGTGTCATCCCCTTGCCAGGCATGCCCCTCCCCTCCCCCAGACACAGTTTTGGGGGCACTGCTGGGGCATAATTCTGGGGCACGGGGTGGCTCCCTGAGCCCCCCCCGGCTGCACATGGCGCTGGTCGACCTGTTCATTGGGGGCACTGAGACCACGGCGGCTGCTCTGGGCTGGGCTGTAGCCTTCTTGCTGCATCGTCCTGAGGTGAAATGCATGTCCCTCCCTGTCTTCCATGCAGCACTGGGAGGTCCTGTGTGTCCCCATTGGTCCCATATCCCCACCCACATCCTGTGTGTGTTCTGTATGTCCCTCATGTTCCCTTCTCCATGGGCTTCCTACTGCCCTGCCGCCAGATGACATGCGTGGGCACCATGTGTACAGTCCCAAGGCTCCACGTGTGTCCCTGGGGGTCCCATATCCCCACCTGTGTCCTACATGTCCCACATGTCCTCCTCCCCATGGCCGACACCGTGCCCTTGCACCACCCTGAGGTGCCACATGCATGTCAGAGCCACGTCCAAGTCCCTGTGCATGTTCGTGGAAGGGAGTCGGGTCCTCGCATATGTTCCCCAGGAGGGTCCCATATCCCCCACCCATGTCCCGTGCATCTCCTGTGGCCACTAGTGTCCGCCCACCCTGTCCTGAGATGCCACATGGATGTCACAGACATACCAGAGCTGTGTCTGTGTCCCCACATGGCTCCTCGATTTGGGGATTCCACAGAGAGGTGGCTCAGGGTCTGGGGATAGAGGGTCTCAAGAGACAGGTCTGGGGGCTCAGGGGTGTCCCCAAGGAGGAGGGAAGAGCATGTTTTTTAGGGAGTTGGTGGATCCCAGAGCAGGCTGGGGGGTTGGGAGGAATCTGGGTGTTTAAGGGGTTCCCCAAGGGAGAGGGCCAAGTTTGGGGATGGTCTGGGGTCCCAGGGCCAGGTTCATGAGTTCAGGAGGGTATGGGGTTCTAGGGAGTCCCTCTGTCACCCCATTGCCACTGTGTGCCCCCCCGGGATGCCCCTCTCCTCTGACAGCCCATGACAGACACGGCAAACTTGTGCTACACCTGTGCAGCTGCAGGCACGGCTGCGGGCAGAGTTGGAGGGTGCACATGGACCCCCTGGGCCGGGGGACATGGGGCGCCTGCCCCTTCTTCAGGCCACCGTCAGCGAGACTCTGCGGCTGCGGCCCCCTGCACCTCTGGCGCTGCCCCACTGCGCCCTGCGCCATACCAGGTGCTGAGACAAACCAGTACAGTCTAGTGTGGGGGAGGGATGCTGGGAGGAGCTGCAATGAACCAGTCTGGGTCAGGGGGAGCTGAGAGGAGCCATTACAGACCAGTAAAGGACCACTTGATATCACCAGTAGGGTCCACGAGAGCCCAGCAGAGCCCATTAGACCCCAGTGAGTCCCACTAAGACCCATCAGGTCCCGGTATGGCCCCAGTAAGACTCCAGTATAACCATAGGTGCTAGTAAATCCCAGGAGGGCCCAGTAGAAGTAGGGCTGCAGTAGACCCCAGTAGACCGGTATGGGCCCAGAAAGTCCCTGTAGGACCCAGTAGGCCTCAGCTGACCCCAGAACATTCCCAGTAAGACTCGTTAGGTCCCAGTAAGCCCCAGTATAACCCCAGTATGTCCCACTAGGCCCCAACAGGTCCTGGAATGACCCCAGTAGACCCTAACCGACACCCAGTAGATCCTAGGAGACCCCACAATAGTCCCAGTAGGGCCCAGCAAAGCCCAGAAGATCCCAGCAGGAGTTCCCAGTATATCCCAGTAAGTCCCAGCGTGGCCCCATTAAACCCCAGTAGACATCCAGTAGCCCTCAGAAAAGCTCACTATGGCTCCAACAATTCCCAGTGAGCCCCAGTAGACTCCAGTATGGCCCCAGTAGACCTCAGCAGGCACCCAGTAAATACCAGAGAGCCCCAGTATGGGCCCAGTATACTCCAGCAGATACTCAGTAACTCCCAGTAGTAGCTACCGGATCCCAGTAGGGACCCTGTAGACGCAAACAAACATCCAGTAATACCTAGTAGCCCCCAGAAAGCCCCTGTATGGCCTCAGTAGGTCCCGCGCATCTTTCAGTAGTCCCCAGCAGACCCCAGTCCATCTCAGTGCCCCCTGTCCCCTTCCAGTCTTGGGGGGCTCCCCGTGGTGGCTGGCACCGTCTTGGTCCCCAACCTGCTGGCAGCCCAACAGGACCCTGACATCTGGCAGAACCCTGAGGTCTTCCTGCCCGGTATGTGGGTATGCCTGCACTCGGAAGTCCCCGCCGCCAAACTCCTGGGGTCTCCTCAAACATCAAACTGGATTTCTCCAGTCATGGGGTTTCCCTTGACTCCTGGGTATCCTGGGAACACCTTGGCATCATGAGTGCCCCCCTGATGCCTGAATCACCCCAAACCCACACCCCCTTCCCCAAACCTGCGGTCCTCCCCACCATCCCCATCGTCCCCCCCCCATATATCTGGGTACCGCCCAAAACCTGTGGGTCCCTCTGTTCCTCCCCTCTATTTCCCTCCCACCAAACCCTTGAGATCCCCCTCAGGTGTCTGAAGCCTCCCCAGACATGTGAATCCCCTCTGATGCCCTGGGGTCACCCTCGAGCCTCAGGGTGCCTCCACCCAAACCCCCACGTCTCTTTTTCTGAAACCCGGGGTCCAACCTGGGGAACCCCCAGGTTCCCTCTAAACTTGTCGGCCCACCCATCGCCCCAGCTCCCCTCGAAAGCCTGTGGGTCTCCCCCATCCCCGCGGAGCCCCCTCAAACCCGATCCGTCGCCCTCCAGAGCGGTTCCTGGCCCCGGGCGCCCCCTCGCGGTCACTGCTGCCGTTCGGCTGCGGGGCGCGCTCGTGCCCGGGGGAGGGTCTGGCGCGGGCGGAGCTCTTCGTGTTCCTGGGGCTGATCCTGCGGGAATTCCGTCTGGAGCCGGGCCCGGGGGGACTGCCGGGGCTGAGGGGGTCGCCGGGTACGGTGTTGCGCTGCCCCCCCTTTCGCCTGCGCATGGTGGCTTGCCAGCGCTCGGGCTCACCCTGACCTGACTCCAACTGGCCACTTTATTACTTTTCCTGAACACTCTATGACTCACCTGACTTTTTCTGACCCTTCCTGAACACACTTGACTTCACCTGACTCTGTGTGACTCTGCCTGAACCTGGCGGACCTTGACCCCCTGACCGACCCCACCTGACCTTGGCCTCACCCTTGCCAGCCCTATGCCTCACTTTGACACTGGCTATGACCCTAGCTGTGACCCTAGCTAACTCCATCTAGCCCTGCTTGAACGCTGTGTGACTCCATCCCAACTCACCTGACCCTTACTAACCACACCTGACCCTACCTTGTCCCTGCCTGACCCCCGGGTGGCCCCATTCAACACCCCAGATGCCAGGGTCAGTGCAGTGTGGGAGGGCCCCATTTTCCTCCTCCCAATAAAATTTATACTTTTGACCCCATCCCGGAAGTTCCGGCTCTTTCTGGGACCTCCACAAAGAGGACACGCGCCTCCTTTTTTCTCTGCCCTCGCGGCGCCGGCCGACCCCGGCGGCCGGCCCTTCCCGCGACGCCGCGGGCAAGGAGCCGGGACCGCTGCGCGGCTTCGGATGAGGATGAGGCACGCGAGAGCGCCCCTTTTTGGGTTCTCTCTCTCGGGCTCGCTTCTCTCTCTCTCTCTCTCTCTCTCTCTCTCTCCTCCCCCCCCGGCCTTTGGGGTTTTCTGCCTTCCCTTCTCTCTCGGGTTTTTTTCTCTCTCTGTGCGCGTCTCTCTCTCTCTCGCGGGGCCCGCGCCCCTCGAGACACCGGGGGGTGGAGGAGGAGGAGAGAAAGGGCCTTCTCGCGCCCTCGAAAGTCACGCGCGCGGCACGGCGCGCGGGACGGGGGGGCTCTGGCTGGGGCTGACCCGCCCCCGAAAACCGGCCCCCGCCCGCCGACCGG